GCCGTCGTGGGCTTGTCCAGGATGAGGGAGGTGACCCCCGCGACTTTCTTCGCCGTGGTGCTCCTCGTCACGGAGGAGGACCTGCAACCCCTACACACGCCTACACACCACCACATCGTGTGCCACCACCGTGGGCGCCCCCCTCCCCCCTCCTTTTCACGCTCCCCCCAAGTCCTTCTATCCCTCCTGTATTTTACATCCCCCCCCCCCTCTGCCGCGCCGCCGCCGCCGCCTCTGACGTCATGAGCCCGTGCTACGACCCCGGGCTGCCCCTTTCCTGTGCTCCGCCCAAGGCTGGGCCTCGGCCCATGGGTGCCTGTGCCCATGGCTGTGCTCCTCCTAGACGTAGTCCTCATCATGTCGGTAAAACTGTTCAGTCCGTGTGCAGTGCCCCCCCCCCCTAGCGTCGCGCCGGCCCGTCCCGCGGGGGGGCTCTCACGGGCGGGCATGGCGGGACCCTATGCCTGAACCCCATGGCCCGAACCCATGGTGGGACCCTATGCCTGAACCCCATGGCCCGAACCCTTGGCTGGACTGGAAGCCCATGGCAACCAGGCTGGAACTGGAAAGCGGCCTGCTGGAGCGTACTCGCGTACTGCTGGAGCTGGAGGTGCCCGGCGCGGCGGCACTCGAATGTGTGGTGTTTGCGAGAGTGGCGACGTGCTGGAGGGGGGGTATTGTAACTGCGGAACTGCGGCGCGTCGGCTCTCGCGGCGCAGGCCGCCGCTTCTCTAGGCTAGGTGAAGCTGGGCGAAGCTAGGCGGGCGCCGAAAGAAATGCCCAGCTAACGGATGCTGTGGTGCGGGGCGAGAGAGGCCGTGCTGCTGTGCTGCTCCAGCTTGGCGGCGTGGCCCCCGCTGGTGTCGGTGGTGCCGTGCGTGCAGCGAGTGTCGGCGGCGGCACCCACCAGATCCTTCGGTCCGTCTGTCTGCCGAGGACTTTGACCCGCAAGGTGTTCTGCCATCGATGTGGATCTCGATGGTGATGGTGAGGGCGATAGGGAGGGGGCACGCAGCCTGCTGCGTAGGCAAACCATCCGACGTCCGTGTATGGATTGGTTGCCTGCCTCGCAGGAGTCTTGCGATTGTCATCGGCGATGACTTACTCTGACTTTCCCCGCCGACGACCTCGACTTCACGTCTGTCGACGCTCTGTTAATTTGGCTTCTATTGTTTTGTTTTGCAGTGTCTTTTGGGATTTGTACTGCGCGGCACCTGAGAGGAGAGATACGTGCGAACACTCTAGTGAAGCAAAGGCGTTCCACGATTATGTGAGTTCCGTGTTTTGTGTGCTTTATCTCTTAATGTCTGAAGCGGTTATTAATCATCATACTTTTCGCTTTTGCAGGGTTTTGTTAATTCTGGTTATGGAGTAAATGGCATCGCACATGTGAGTAACTTAAGACTATGATGAAAGTTAAATTAAATTATGACTTTCCTTCAATTTTGTATTATGGTTATTTTTTTCAAATCATTTCTTTGTATCAAACAGAATGCTGGTCCAGCTCCAAGTCCACTCGGTCAAATGCCACCTAACGACGGGATGCCAGGAGGACCTATGCCTCCAGGGTTCTTTCCGGTGAGTTTGTAAATTGTTATTGTAATTATAGCTATTGTGGTCTATGTATGTATGGGGTCTTTTCACAGGATTCTTGGGTGGAGTTGGAATATGTTTTGCTTGTTTTAAAAATTCTTATTCCAGATTCATGTGCATTTTGTAGAGGTGAAGGATTTTACTGCAGGATATTTGTATTGTTTTTCCCTGTAGTGCCAAAGTCAATTTTAAGGTGGTGAGATTGCTGAATAGGTTCCTCATCATTCTAATTTTTTTATTTTATCTTGTAGGTGCTAGTATTGGTGCCCTCCACTTCAGTTTTTATTTTACAGATCCTTCTTTATATGCTCTATTGTTGCTGACTCGCAGTTTTCTTAATAAGCCTTGTAAATTTTGGAGAGCTGTATTGCATGATGCATTGTGGCCTTTTCTTGCCTTGTCTGCACGTCAAGAAAATAATATTCCCTGCCAGCATTTTGCAATCTTAACAATCATTTATCCAGAAGAGAACACATTTTTGAATTTATTCTTAGTAATTTGAAATAGGATCTGGTCATCTCAATTTAAAACATCAATCCATTACTCATTAATTGCAGATGTAATTCATTTGATAGTTGCCATTGTCATTTTATACTATTCTGCAATCCATCCATTAATATTGAGATCTAGAATAAGAGAAGGCACGCTCTGAAAGTCAAATGACTGTGGTCACTCAATAGTTGTTTTGTGTGTGTGTGTGATCCCTATCCTGCCTTAAGCTTGTGACCTGTGTGCTTTGTCAATTAATTGCACCGTGTGTTGTGATTATTTATGCGGCAATGTTTTAATCCCATCCCTTATTAGTGGTTTCCATTCTAACATTGGCATCATGCATTATAGTTTTCTGAAGTTCAGGTCGTGTTTCAAACTATGGTTATAAAATGAAACACACCAAATCTATTTGAACCCCAATTGGAAATTGTTGAGACTTTTCTAAGATTTACTATCTATTATCCAACATGAAGGAGAGTTCACACTTCAGATATTAAGTTTCCATTATTGTTGTATAAGTGAAGTGCAGTCCCCTTAAATTCTTTTGTCAACGGTAGCTCCATTACATTTAAAAAAAGCAAATAAATCTAATCAACTAAAGTTGAGAAAAATCAGATTACCACAAATCTAGTCTGTATTGTTGGTTACCTTTCATTTTAGATGGTGATACTGGTGAAGGAGGTGCCAGTTCTAGATGATTAGTATTTAGACTGAATTTTATCCTCAATACCTGTGTCTCTTGCATGTGGTCTACCAGGCTCACAAGACAATTTCCACTTCCTCTGCATGAATTGTCTCTACCAGTTCTAACCTCATGTTAATTTTGAATTCTGTGTCTCACTTCTGTCCTATCTGAGTAACAAGCTATCAATCAACCATTCCTGAGAATGAGTCATATGAACAGATTCACAAGTGGTTTTAATCGCTTAATATTATTATGTGGTATTTAGTACACACATGCTACTAAGAGTATGAGTGAGCTTTATTTTCTATAAAATCAGTTGCTTGAAAAGCAACAACTGCATTATTTGTGCTACTCTTCTGTTGATATTTCATCTGTGCAAGTTGCCCCTCTGGTTTTCCCAGCTTTGTGTTAAATTGAGAAGTTTCCATATTGCTTTATGTTTGGAATGGTGGTTGAGTTTGTTCTGCCTATCTGAGCATCAGTGTCTGTGGCATTTGTGGGTGGCTAGCAATGGTCGAGTGTGGTGTTTTACAGAACTCGGCAATGAGGCCGTCTCCCCCCACACATCCGTCTTCTCAGCCCTCACCTCAACACCCTCAGCCCCCTCCACCTCACAGCCAGATGATGTCAAGTCAGGTGAGTTTTGTTCAATTCCACTCACCAGCATGAGTTCTAGCAATGACAGTTTGAGTTCATTCTTCTAAGTATGATTCTTTGATAGTCTTGTTTGGTTGTGGGAAGAATAGGCCAAAGCATGAAATAATTTTAGAAGTTCTGCGTTGAGCATGTATTTATTTTGTTATCTATTCATTTGGTGAATGCAAACAAATTGTTACTTCTATACACTTAGCATTGTATTGGAAGCTGAAAGAAAACAGCCAAACCGAATTGCAAAGAAGGAAAGTACTGAGTCTGAGCTCATTCTTATTTGTTAGAACTCTTGTCATCCACACTGCTTGTCTGGATTCCAAATCAGTACGCTTGCTTTTTGCTGTCCAATTTGCATGTTGTGTGTCTTTGTGTCCTTGCATGGTTTGCCCTTTGCTTACTTTTGGTGGATTTTTCCCAGTACTTATGATCTGTGTAACCTGATGTGCGTTAGTGATTTGAACATCAGTCACACGTGTGGGAATAATGATGCTCTGAAAAGGTGTCCTTTTGAGCCCCATGCATTTATTGAAAAGCGGTGGCAGTGGAGAGCAGTTGTGGTCCCTCACAAATATTTTCAGGTTGCAATATCATTGGCTGTGAGCTGTCTCACTGATTTGATGGATGTGAACTTTGTGAATGAGACTTATTGACTTGTGTTGCTGGGATGTTCTTTTGTGTTAATATGTAGCATTGTGCTTTTTGTACAACCAAATTTGCAGCATAGAACACTTCGTGTGCAGTGGAGTCGAATCAGTAGTTCATATACTTATTGAAATTATTTGGTTGAAACTTTCAGAAATCTGTCGGGCTCCAATGCATGCTATCAACAATTATGTACTGCACAAGCAAGACTATGTAGACCAGTCACAGGCTTCAAAGGTGCACTCTGAAAATAAATCCATGTGCTTGGAGTACGTAACATATATCAAAGTGTGTGATGCAAACAGATTGTTACTATTGAAGCCTTGGTGAGCTGTAGAGTGTATTATTTGCAGTTAATTATTGTAGATCTGTTTCAAGAAGTTGTATTTTATTTTCATTTAATTTTTAGGCAAAGAAGCAACAAACTTTTGACTACGTGGGGCTATCAGAAAAGTAAAACCTTATAAATTATCAATACAGAATTACTTTTGTGTTGTAGATTTTCATGTTTCTTATCAGATTGTCATGCAAGAGCCCTTGTCCCTACATTTTGTTTACAACATCTGCATTTACTTATGTGGTTGACATTACTTATTCTTGTTTAGGGACTCATTATGTGCTATGTTGTTGTCGTCCTCAGTTTCACTTTTTAGATATTTCAAAACCATCCATACAGAACCTTCTATTTTCAGCCTCTATGTTCTCAGTTTTTGTCGAGAATGGCTAAAGAAAGTTAGGAATTTTCTGTATTCCACAACAGTATTATAGCAGTGTTAGGCTGGTTACCACCAAGATAGCAATTACTGTTCTGACAATAGGAAAATTTTTGAAACCAGACAAATAGTTTAGAACTAGGATTGGTGAAATCGTTAACTATCTTCCTATTCTGAATTGTGGTTTTTACCTGCACTAGTACATTATGTCCTTTTCCAGGAGAGGATAGGTGTCTTCACTGGTGGCGGGATGCAAGCATTCAACTATTCTATGAACATTGTCACATGTCTTGAAAGTGCACGGAGAGATAAAGTTGTTAACTTTACTATAAAGTCCTGCGCAGTATGATTATTATTAGCCACGTACAGATGTAATCAGATTTGAGTGTTATAGACTACACTTCTTTCTTCTGTCCTATCTAAAAAACCACATTAACCAAGCTGTAACTAAATTGCATGTCTGTGCAGCCAGATAATTACGTTGGTTTCAAAATGGTACACTAAAGGAAACAACAAAATAAAATGATAAAACTAGCAATAGTGGGAATATCAAGTCAAGCTAAATTTTATCTTAATGATGTTTTCTCAAATTATTTCAAAGTGGAGACTAATAATTTTTAAGTACATTTCCATTTTAAAATATAGATAAAACTTAACCAACTATATTTTAATACGATCATAGTTCTTTGAAGTGAGAGAATCTAATGGTAACTCATTGTTTTGTTACAGCCTTTTATGGGCCCTCGGTATCCAGGCCCCAGAGGACCAGGTGGAGTTCGAATGCCTAATATGGGTAGCGATTTTAATGGGGTAAGATCATATTTTTTTTTATGTTTTACTTCCAAGACCACTCTTTTTATAATTGCTAATTATTTTGAATGTATGTGTTCCAGCAGCCTCCTGGTCAACCAATGATGCCTAACAGTATGGACCCTACACGGCAAGGTAGGTTATCTGGAATAGGGGATGCATTTGCATGGCAGTCGGTGGATGGGGTAGCTTGATACCATTTCTAGCTGGCTCCAGGTAACAAACTATTCCATTTCATCATATTATTTAAACATAACTTTTGTGAAAAGAGGAGAGTTCAAACTACTTCAAAGCTGGATTAACTCTAAAACCTATCTAATCAAGTTAAAAATTTAAATTCTATTTCTGCATCTAATTGCCTGGAGCAGCTAGCTTTGAAAAATTTTGCATGGTACTTTCTGCTGGGATTTTTCATAAAGATCATAATCATTATCTGATTTCTGATTAATATCATTCTTTACCTTTGCACCACACCCTTAGCCTTCATCGGTCATCTCATTTCACTATTTCAGTCCTTTGAACTTAAAAAACGTTCACATGAGATATAATTATATTATCTTTTTGTTGCGTCCAATTCATTTAACATTCAGAAAGTTTTATCAATTTTGACCTTCCTAAAAAGAATTCAGTCCCCTTGGAGAGGATTGTCACTTGAACAATACTACCTACTTTTCAATATGATTTAGAGTTTCAGGTACTCCATAACTTTTGTCACCCTTTCACAGCTCCAAACACCAACCATCCTTGACCTCCTACCCTGCACTGAAATAAGTTAATTTTGGTGCTCAATTTCTGTTACCGTATGTTAGATTTGTCATAATCCCTTTTTTCAAAGCCTTTGTTAGAGTAGCCACAAATTTCACATTCATGCCTGGATCTTAAATAAAACTCGTGACTACCAGTCCCTCAAAGACCTATAGGATGGTTAATTCTTTGGTGGAGTATTTTTTTTCTCACTAAATTCTCAGCAATTCTCAAATTAACTGTTCAAAATGCTCTGAATATGGAGTGTTTTTAAACTTCAGTAAACAATACCATTGGGTCAACAACATGTTTGCATGATTTGTGGCTGTTCCTTCCTTCATTACACTGTTACATAGAGTGAATTGTCATTGACATAGCTCTGTTTCTGTCTTCTCAGGTGAGGGCGGAGAATATGTAGGTTGGCAAGGTAGGCAGTCAACTTATTCTTCGTCCCATTGGTACCATTGCCTGCTCACTTTGTCTCACATGCTGCCTTATCTTTAAGCCTTTCACTGTCTGCCTGCCTGCCACCATGCCTGCCATCTCCAGTCCATTTTATTATTATTCTTTTTTTCTCTTTTTCTTTTTTAAAAATGTTATACCCTTTGCACATATTGAACTTAGTAAATTACCACTTTCACTCAAATTATGTAAAAGAGTAAAGGAAACTATTAAGAAAGTGGATGCCATCAAAATAGTACAGGTATTTCATCTGTCCGCATTTGAAAAATGAACCAACAAAAGTCTCTGGAGTTCTCTTTTGCTTTCATTTTTTTTTGTGTGTGTTTAAGCAAGGCAATTAAAAAAAGAAATTTAAAAAAGAAATCACTTTCCTTAGGTACAATTAATTATCTATCATAAAAGCAAAACACCACTCAACCACTTAGTGGCATAGTCACTATTCATTTTCCTCTGATTTGATAATCACATGAATCCTCTTGCATGTCAAATCTTGACTTCTATGGAAAGTTACTTTGCATGAAGCTAATTGGTGATAAAACTGTTACCATATGAAACAATCCTAGGTGACCAGAAGTTAGCATGCCTAAGATATTTGTTACCTGTTACTTGATTAAAATACCTCATGTTTTAGCAGTGGAATCTTAAAGACAAATAATTCTCAGCTAACCAAATATTTTATCTCTAGCGTAGTTCAATCTTATATCAATGCTTTTGTTCTGTTTCGAAGTTTGCTTTCTGCCTAATCTATTCTGTTCAGTCTCATTCCACGAAGTGAAAGTAGCCTCTTTCAAATTTGAAATTTTCCACTTTTGCAAACAAAATTGAGATTTCTTTCTATTTGGAGTCTCTGCTTTAGTGAAGTTGCGCAACAATCATCTGATTGTCAATTTCTCTGTGCTTTATTTATTTCAAAATAGCTATCACGTCTATTTGCTTTCTATATTTTTATCTGGTGATCTTCAATGCATTAACCGTCTTTTCCCTGTTATCCCTCAGGACCCCCTGGAATGAACCCTATGAACCCCCGTATGAACCCTCCTAGGGGACCAGCCATGGGTCCCATGGGTCCCGGCTCGTACGGTCCTGGTATGAGAGGACCCCCTCCAAACAGTAGCCTAGGACCTGGTGGCCCGGGTGGGCCGGGTGGGCCTGGCGGCCCAGGTGGACCAGGTATGCCACCAGGAATGGCCATGGGAGGAGCCGGAAGACCTCAATGGCAGCCTAATACGTCTACAGTAAGTTTGAATACTTGAAAGCCTTTTCACTGTGATCGCTTGTAACTAGGAAAAAAAATAATGCCTGTTCTGTCTCTTCTTTTTAAAGCCTATGAGCTACTCATCATCATCTCCTGGAAACTATGGGGTATGTACATTTTATATTATCGCTCCTCAATACATCACTAACTAATATGAATATGTGTCTGCTTCATTAGTGTAAAAACTAATTTTGGCTCTTTATTGTATTGTAGGGCCCTCCTGGTTCATCAGGGCCTCCTGGTCCAGGAACACCTATCATGCCTAGCCCACAGGGTAAGTTAATCAAAGATGATTATAACCTTAAAACTATTGTATATTTCACATGCGTGCTGAGTTGCTTGGATTATTTTTACACTCATGATTTGCCACAGAATATGTGGTTGTGTGCATGGGTGCAAACCAAATGTACATGCATTTTGTAATCTATTATGTTTGTAAATATATACCTCTTTATAGATAAATATTATTCAACCAAGTGGGCTAAAGGTTGACAGTCAATTTTATTTTCTAATCTAAAAAGATTAATTTTGTAGAGTTCATAAGTACCACTTGCACTTTAAAAAAAATGTTATTATTGCTGAACCTATGGTGGTTTAGTCTTACGGCAAGGATTTTATCTTGATCTGTCATGTCCATGTCCAATAAATGGAGCTTTGTAGTTCTCAAAAAGTTGCATGCCAACTGCTTGCTGCTTTATCTGTATTTGTGATTAATATACACTGTCCAAGCACAGTCTGTTATCTATCAGCAAACACCTTTGTTGATTGTACATCAACAAAGTTTTGTTACTAACAAGGATATTTTTCAAGTAAATTTCTGTTGTGCCAAATAGATTCATGGAAATAGTTTCTATTTATCCATCTTTCACCTTTGATAATGATATGTATCAAGCTAGTACGTGTACGAAGTGTTGCCAATTTTATAGTTTTAACTTATGCTCACTTGAGTCTTCTGCTATTATTTTAAACTCTTCAGCTTCTGCTAATTCTTCAACACCGGTTTTATATTTTAAAGTGTGCTTAGTGCATACTGCAATTATTTTGTTGCCTTTTTATCTGCAACACATTAATTCATTACTTCCTGACTTTGCATTTTGTGCTACTGAAGTATAAGTTTGCTAAATTGGCAGCACTTTCCAGGCACTGATGATGCCAACAACCCTGTGTGCATCACTGACTGTTGGTTTCTTTCTAGGTTCTGTGGGACCTTATTCCCCTGCTAGTCATCGAATGCCCACCCCCAGTCCCGTCGCAAGACAAGGTGATTTATCTTTTTTCTGGCAGCACAAATATTTTTATCAATACCGGTATCATAAATCTGTAGGCCTGTTTGCTACTGTGCTGAAAATCTGAAAATTACGGGAACAATTTAGTACTTAGTATATGTTTGTGTCAACATTTCTTCTCACTCACATTTTATCGAACTTATTAATTTTTTTTTAACTTACCAACCTCCAAAGAAAAATTTGATCGTTATATTTCAAAAATGTACCCATGACCCTTGTGTGAACACTCAAGACTATCTGTGCTGATTGCTTTCTTTGGCAGTTGCTTACTGAGACTCGCTTGCCTTTCTCAAATTTTGTGTATCTTGGTCTCACTTGGGTGTGTACACAAGGTCTAAGGTTAAAAAAAGTACCTCAACAGCTTCTACTTGTTATGAGCTTTAAAGCTGTACATAGTAGTACGTACTACTGCTTTAACTGATGCATTCTTGTTTTCAGTTGCCAATCTTCATTCTGCATGTTTCTCCTCACTTTTTAACGTTGTAGCGTTAAAAGATTGGAGAAACTGTTAATTTAGTGTTTTTATGTTTTAACTATTGGTTCTCTTTCAAATACGGTACATACCTACAAATTCCAACTTACTGTAAATGCCTCCAAATACTGTACTAATGTTCTGTAAAAATTTTCACCATGGGCTGTCATGCATGACTCAGTTTTATAGTCTGTTTTCTTTGTTTACTTCTTTTTTGTTTATGGTAAATCAGTTTTACTTCCTACACTGTACCTCTAATTTCCTACTTTCTAGCTGTCTTCTTAGTTCAATTAATGTTAGAAGTAATTTTGATGTACCATGAGTTTTACATCTAATTTCTCTTGTTGCAGACTCATCAAATTCAGGAGGAGAAAATATGTACACAATGATGAAACCTGTTCCTGGTGGAAATATGCCTGGAGTAAGTATCATTTCCTCTCTTAAACCCGAACTGTACTCTCCATTGCATTTCTGTGTGATTTAAAAAGACCTTTATGAAGTGTGTACCGTATGTGTAATCTTCCCTTCGTATGTGATTGCAGGACTTCCCTATGGGTGGAGGTTCTGAAGGTGGGCCCATGGGGCCCATGGGACCCGTGATGAACGGTGACGGGCTGGATGGTATGAAGAACTCGCCAGCCAACGGCGGGCCGGGCACTCCGAGGGAAGACAGCGGCAGTGGAATGGGTGACTACAATCTTGGGGGCTTCGGAGGCCCGGGCGAAAATGTGAGTATGGGAGGAGGCGGATACTTCCCCGACTCGTAGCATCGCGTAGGATCGCATAGAATCGCGTAGCATGTCGTCCCAGCTCCTCCATGGCACTTGCTCCTCTTGGCTTCTTGTGGTATTGGTGCCCGGAAAATGGATGGGTTCGGATCTGAGAGACCTGAAAAGAGATAACTAGTGGATAAGACTCTCCGTTTTCCCAGCCCTTCGAAAACCAAGATTACTGGTGTTGCTCTCTTGTAGTTGTGTTAAGTTTTATTGATCCTTAGTTTTCATCTGTTTCAAGCCCATGCATTGAGAACTAGGAATTGTGTATGTGGCTTAAGCTCCTTTTGACTCATTTGGCCAAGTATTAGTTCTTCTTCATAACAACATTAATTCTATTTTTGTATAATATTTTATCTCTAATCTTTCATTAAGATAATACTTAGTAAATTTCTGGTGTTTGCAGTTGCTTATTTAAAAAGTAACTTAAACATACCACCTCTCCTTTCAATTTTGGAGATGTAATGATATTAAACTAATTCAAGCAATTGCATCACTTGCTGTAAATATCAGTGCTACATAAAATGTGATTTTTGCTGGAGACAGGCTACTTAAAATCTGTACAAGGAAGCATGTGATGTCTCAAGCCTGCAAACATTTTTGCTCAATTTTTAAAACTATCTTTGGAAATTTTATAGTAGGAGTTGCGACGCTGGAACATTTCATTTACATCTCACATCCCGTAAGAATTCCTTTCCTACCCATAGCATACAGACCAAAATCTAAATGGTGAATTTTCATGATGTATGATATTCCAAACAAAAATATCAACTGGCACTCAATGAGCCCAGCATTCTTCGTGATGGCCAATGAGGCTTTAAGTAGGATCTTGGAGTTAGGGAGAACATGAGATAGCTATGCCTCTGGCAATATTTATGGCTTACTTAAGTTTTCACTGGAGATTTTGATATGTGATACTATTATGTTCACCATTCTGTGCTAACTGAATGAGTTGCTATAGTCCTTAGTCTTATTTAGTTCAGTTGGAATTCTAGTAAGAGACCTCACAACCATTTTGTTCGATTAGTATTCTGCAAGGATGTGAGAACGTCTAACATGAAATGATCTCGAGTCGCCACTCTACATGATATAAAGTCTCTTTTTTCTTCTACTAAGCACATATTAGTGTGTAGTTTGATAGGTAACACCTGAATCAGTTCAATTAAATGACCTAATTCTCATTTTTTTCGCTCAGAAGTGATTTGGATCAAGCACCTTGTTCATGAAATAATCAGATGTTTCTGTGGTGTCTTCAGAATTTGGAGCCATGTTTGTTTGTTTTTTATTATGCTCTCAATTCATGTTGATCATTACTAAGTATTTTTCAATCTTAGCATACAATTTCTTTTATCGATCTTTAAAGCTACCACATGCTGAGACATACGAATTCCTTTTAGGGAATTATTACCTGTTACTTTTTATCTAATCTTTTAAAATGAATTTGGTGCTTTTCTTAATTTACAAAGGAAATGAGATTAGACTCTGCTAGGATTGCTGACAGTTGCTAGTCAGGAGACAAATCGAGCTTTGAAGCTGTTGGCCTGTGATGCCTACTGAAGCCACTTGCACTATGCTATATTTGTTTTGACTGTACTTACTATTCTTAGGTGCTTCTTTAAGTGTCCAGTGCTTTTATGTTTTGTTCACTATTTGTAAATATGTAAATACAATCATGTCTACTTAATTTTTGAAATTTGACTTTAATCTTTTTCTTTTGTTTACTTTTACTTTAAATGGTTGTGAATGTATGGTTGTTGTGGGGTTCTTGTAACCTACTTTGTGGTTAGTGATTTTAATCATATCTAGTTGATTTCTCCCCCAGTTATCTGACAAATAGTATTTGTTGTATTTTTGTTAAGACTGGGCACGAGCCTGATTTGTCATTCTGTGATGGATTAGTTTTAATCCTTGATTAATGACATTCTTACATAGGATTTGTCTCTCTAATGCGTGTATATTTTCAAATTTTTGGCTCCTTTCTGATGATTCTAAAATAGTTTGGGCAAAATTTAACAGGACAACACATCCTAATTTTTCATTTTCTCTTTAACTTTTTTGAAATGGGTGAGCATTGAATTGTGGGTTTTAAGTTTTAGTGTTAGACATCTCCATTCTTCAAAACCATTTCTTTAATTCTTTTGAGTTAATTTTGTTTTTTATGATTTTGAAGTCAAGGCCATGAGCTTGCCATATTTAGAATACAGGTTCCATTAGTCTTTATGAGAACCGTTATCTTCATGTTTAATTCTGAGAAATGTTTTTTCCTTCAATATTTGAGGTTTTACACTGGTTGTTTTTATGGACTTCATGTTAGTGCACTGTAGTACATGCAGTTCGTTTGTACTGTATTTTTGGAGTTTACTGGGAAATGGTTTATAATAGAAATGCTATTCTGTGCAGAAGAATCTCATTTGAAACTCATCAGTAACTTCAAATTATTTGGTTGTGATAACTTTGGATTTTCCAGAGTATATTGACAGGGTAATATATATGAGGAAACATTTTGGACTTCTGCTCGTTGAAAATGTTTTAGTTGGAGTAGGAATCCAACATACCTACTAAGTACAAATGGATGTGGTTATTTTCAGTAACATATGAGACATTGAGACACTTTCGAGGCATAAGTCCAACAATGAATGTAAAATTGAACTTGAGTATTTGCTAGTACTTTTTTAGGTTGTGCCTCATTAGTGGGTATGTTAGACTCTTATTTATTTCAATTTTTTCAGAGGAGGGGAAAAGAGGGGGAGGGGGAGGGGGTTGCTCTGGAGCACTTGAAGTTAACGTAAAAGGTTCACAGAATCTACCTCTTTGCATGTGATTTGTGAAACAGTTTCATTGATCGTGATCTTATGTTTACATTTTTGAGCATTTGGGGCTGTTATTTTATTCACAAGATGTGTTAGTTGATAGCTCACCCTTTGAAAACTTTTCAATATGTTCTCAAATCTTATGTTGTTTGCATGACCTGATAGCCCGATTCCCCATATGTTCAGTGCTGGCGGATAAGGGATTGCCCAATATTCCACCATTATTGATTTAAAATGCATGTTGTTTGTTGAAGGTGGAGCTTTCCCCTTCCAGATTTGCAAATCATCACAATTAACTTAGGGACAATTATTTCGACTGCACTGAACATTTATTTATAAACGTGTGAGATTATTTCTCACACAATGCATGATCAGCTGTTCTTTGTTTTGCTGCAGCCTAGATCATCTCAGGAGCTATTATCTACTAGATCATTGTAATGTTTGGCTTAAAATTTATATTTGCAGAAACTCGTACATGTTGTTTGGGGTTTTGTGCTAGCATATTTAGATTCTCTTTCATCTTCAAAACTAGAACTGCAGCAAGGCAACATATGCCTTATATTGTGTAAAGGTCAGATGTTGAATTGGTTACAAAGCCTTTATCCTCCCAACTTCTCAGCTTAATAGTCACCTATTTCTTTACAGCTTTCTTTATTTTAACGTTTTCCTTCATTTACTGTACATTAATCTAGGTTTGATTCCTTCCGAAAGTAGAGCAGTGATGGTTCTGTAAACCTAAAGCTAAAAGCAGACTTAACTTTAAAAAAAGAAAATGTTTTGCGCGCTTTTTCTTTTGCCCCCTTGTTTTAAAAATTTACACCTTTTCGAATTTTTGTCTTTTGTCATTGAGATGTTAAAATATTACTCAGCTTCTTCTACTGGGTTCCCAGTTTAAAGTATCAGGTTTACTGCTCTATTTTAAAAGGAGGTTATTAAGCCAGTCTTGTAGCTTTTACATGCACACGTTTTAAAACAGCTTTTTAGGCCTTCTTTGCTTCCGTGCACCCTAAACTGAAAAAAGAATTGTACGATAAAGCTCAACTTGCGACCATCCCTGCTCATCTTTCTGAATCCTTGCTTTAGATGTTGGAAAGAAAACTTTTTGGATTTTTTTTGATAAAGTAATATGATATGGATCTCAGTACTGCCCTTTCTGAAGCTTAATATACAGCTTCAAAGGCAATGTTCGTATGCCACCATCAAATTCTTTTGGCTTTCACTTTTCCAGTCCTGAAAATTTTTAAACTTTCCCTCATGATGGTGATGTATGTGGGGACATGTGTGACATGTGCTGGGGAGTTGGGAGGCAATTGGCAGCCAGACAATGTATCCTGTTAAACTGTTGTCATTCAATGAGCCTTAAAACAATTATTTATTTTAATGTAAAGAAGAATTGTTGCTTTGGGAATAAGTGTAAATTTCTTTTTGTAATTAAAGATATTTTTGAAAGCATATTACCAGTTGTGTGTGTGCCTTCATAGAGTGGGCGGAAACCCTCCCTACTGCCCCAACACATATTAACATGTCCATCACACTCACATTCAAGAAGGGTGTGTTGCATGATTTCAAAATTCATTCTTTTTTCTTTGTTTGCTTTGAATTTTTTTTTTTGTAGATTCTTTGTAGTTTGCATCTTGCAATATCTTGCAAATTGAATCGGGTACATGTAAATCATCTGCTGTCAATTGATAAGTGATCATCTTGCTCTTGTTGATGTGAACAAAAAAAATTTTTTGAGTGTACATCAAGATAATTTCTTATTTCAGGATCAAAATGAATCAGCAGCCATTCTGAAAATTAAGGAAAGTATGCAGGAAGAAGCCAAGAGGTTTGAGAAAGACTCGGACTATCCAGACCATTTCATGCAATAACACCCAGTTCCACTTCTATGAGGATTGATCAGGCAGCGGCCGATGCCTCATCCCTTTACCTCTGCCTCGCTCCTCCATTACCACCCGCCTGTGAAAATCAGATTGCAGTGTCTTATGTCTCCAATTCCTTTCAAAATCAACTTCAAAGGGTGGTTGCCAAAATGTGTGGATTCTATTGTTTCCTTCTTCCTTAGTGACTAGTCACCAAAATCATTTTATCCATGTTACGAGTGGGAGCAGCCTGAGGAATAATTATCAGTTCGATACTTAAACCCTGTTTCTATTTTAAAATCGATCATTCCATTTTAGGAGTGGTTCAATCTTATCTCTCTATAGCTGCAGTTTTTGTGCATATATTGTATTTATGTTCCTATATTCATCAGACTTGCAATCTGATTCTTAATTGTATTTTTGGAAGTGTGATAGAGATGAGGAAATAGAATGTAAACAGAGAATGTGCCTGAATGTGTGCGCGCAAGTTTTTGCACGTGTCTGTGAGTCGCCAGTTGTTGTTTTTTTTTTCTTTTTTTTTTCTTGTAAATGAAAGCAGCCATTGTGATTTTCTGGCTTGTGAGAATGTGTGAGTGAATGAGTTAATTTATCAATATTTGAGCTCCTCCATCTCCCTGGTTTGCTACATCACAAATTATGCCCACCAAGAATCACCTTATTTGTCAGTTTTTTCTCACTACAGATATTTAAATTTTATAACCAGAATTTTGTGTTGTTATTTATAAATTATTATCATTTACTTTACTCTTAAATTGTTTTTATGTTTCAGTTTTTAAAAGATTGTACTAGAAACGAGTCAGTTTATTGATATTTACTGCATGACTTGCTCTGTGGAAAGCTGTAGTTAATTTATGTTATGTTATTTTATAATTCGTAAATAATTATTTTGCCTGTAGCAATGAAAGCTACATGTTCATGTCACTGCCCTTTTTTTTCCACTTTCTCTCTTCCTGTGCAAGTGAACCTCTTGAGTACAAATCTATCATTGGTGTATCACCTTTTATGTTGCCAAAGGTAAAGCTCATAGGCTTAAACAGCATCAGTTATCTTAAGGCTGGTCCTATTTTGAGCATGATCTCTCTGCAACATATCTATAATTTAATGATTGGGTATTTGTGCTGGAAATCGCAAATGCTGTGCCTCTTTAAGGACCAAATGATTGTCCTCCCAAATCTTATTATTGTAATTACATGTCTATTACTAGCAAAGTAGAATTTCGTTTGTATAAAAGCAATATGGTTTATAAAATGTTGCTTTTCTTTCTTTATTTTTGCCATTGGCCCACACAATTAGAAATGTAAAGTTGGGCAGCTGAAATCATTTTTTAGATTCACAGAGGTTCTCTTGTGTGTGATGGACTGCTTTTAGAGATTGAATGGTGAATGCTTGTGAGCGTGAATGTGTGTGTGTGTGCGAGTGTGTGCGTAAGTGAGTGCATGGATACATATTTGTGTGGTGCAGCTGGATGTATGTGTATGAGTGAGCTCTGCGATAATGCCTAGTAATGAAATTTGTCTACCATCCAATCAGATTGGTCCCAAATTATTATTTGGCCAAGTCTGGTTTGGAAAGGTGTACATACCATGTGGAAAGTCTGAGTTACCATTTACACAAAATTTGGTATATTAAGGCAATATGGGGTGCATTCACTTTTGCGGATACTGTTCTTATTTATGACAATGTATTTGGATAACTATTGGACATCTCTTTTCAGTGATGCTGCCAACACTACTACCAAAAATACTTCACCTCTGTTTTTTTTTTCTCTCTATTACAGCCATTGCTAAGATGCTGGCTAGTTTGTTGACACTCTTGCGTTAGAAGGCAGTGCAATCAATTGACCAATCAATGCCCAAGTCGTAGAACTAAAATCCATAAGTACCAGTTAGTTGTTGTTTGGCATCACAGTAAGACAATGTCTTTCTTCCTACTTTTCCATGCACCTCTTCCACTGTATATACCTTATGTTGACAGACCACATTAAACACTAGAACATCACAGTAAGCATTCTAACTCAATTGAATGCATAACTGAAAGTTTACTATGAGATGTAAATATTTTGATAGTTCAAAAATTACTTGTTCACTTGTTGATTACCGAAACTATTACCTACATGTGTACAAAGCAATAGTGAAGATTGGAATCATTATTTAATTTATAAAAGCGTTATGAGCCCTACTTCCTAAAGGCTTGCAGACAGGCAGACTCTTGATAAATACTTAAGCTATAAGCAGTTGAACAGCTCTTTCAGTACTGTTCGAGCTATTGTTGTTCATACTCAAAATGCTTAGCAGAGCTATTCCTTGCTATTCCGGTGTCACAAAAGAAGATGGTGTTTTTTTTTTGTCTGAAGTATTTTGATATTGGAAATCTGGTGGTTCTAATGGATTTTATCTTTAAAAATTTTGGGCCTTAGACCTGGTCACATGTGATAGCTAATAAATTTTTCATGCACATGCATGTTTAATGACACTTGTCAGGACTAATTACTGACATGTTACTCACAAACATACTGAGAATTTCTGTTAAATGTGGCATTCTTTGTTATGAATACACTTTCAAGATAGAAGTCTTTTCATGTATGTGAGCTTTAGGTTTTGTTTAATTTAAAAAAATTAATACATGTATTTTCGTCTTAGAGATGAGAGATGGCTTTCGAGAGAATCTCCTAGCAGATCTTGCAATGATTGGTCGAACTTACATGGGAATTCTTGCTGCATATGACACAAAACTCTAATTCTAAAATTATGTCATCTATGACCCCATCCACCATAAGCAAATTCCAGTTTACAGAAGACATTATGCTTAGAAGTCTTTCGCTCATTGCTTTTAGAATGCAATAAGCAGTTGAGGCTTCTGTAGTTCATGGACTAATTTTTTCTTTTTTTTTAAATGGTCATTCCTTATTTACAGTATCCCCCTTTATCTATTTTAATTTCTGATGTCAAGAGCTTCAGGTGGTTGGTAGTAATGTAGACATCATTCACTAAGTCAATTTTTATATGGTATAGGGGTTTCTTTCTGCGAGTAACTGTTCAGTAAGGATTGGACATTTTATTTATTCTTCATACAATGAATGTGGTGATGTACCATTGGGAGAACATTTTATGGCTGCAACTGTAAAATGCATATTTTGTTTGGTCGCCAAAGCTACTTTGATTGAATTTGCATTTGATGGTTGGAAACAATATGATACACTTCAAAGTTTTTCCCAATCGAATGAATGAATGGGTTTAATTTTGCCCAGTATTATATTTCAATATTAATACCCCTTTGTAAGGGAACTACCCGCTAAAGCAGCTCGAGTGGTCCAATTCCTTCATAATTGAATTTAAATTTGCCAAATGCTTTGGAAGAAAACATTTTTTTCTTTTTGACAAGCCTCAGCACCTTTACAGTATTATTGAGAAATATCAGTGATATGACATGTATCATTCATCGCTTAGGAATTGTATCCTTAAAAAATGTTCCTTTTCTGCATCAACTATGTAAACAGTACTTTTTCAAACCCTGATAAAGGGAACAACTATAAAAATTCTTTATTGATTGAAATTATTTTTCATTTCAAGTAAACACACTTATTTGAAGGAGTACTATCTATGTAGTTTATGAAGGCCAACCCTGCGGTTATTTAAGCAAAACAATGATGTGGCCAAAGAATATGCTGTAGTTGTATCAATTTTCCTCTGTAAAATGTTATTCCATAAACTTTTTTATGAAGTTCAAGGAATGATGGCAAGGTTCCCATTGGCTATTTGTGTTATTAATTTTCTTTACCAATCTAGTTCTGAAGACATGAGTGGATTAAGCTATATCTCTTTTTTATTATTTTGTTTTTGTTAAATGGATTTTGCATAGAAATTTGTGCCGCAATTTGAGACGTTCCATTGAAATAAATTATTAAAACTATTTCAGCATCTCTTGCCAGAAATGTTGGTGAAGTTGACTTATAGATATGGTAGGATACAATGTATAAAGTAGACTCATGGAGAATATTCTATTATAATGATTATTATTGATTATTATGATCATTATTATTATTATTATCATTGTGATTATGTGTGGCATTTTTAAATAAATGAAAGAATGGTGTAGTATTGTGTCTTATTCATCAATCGTACTTGTCATCTACGTAAATATCACATTTCAAGCTGAGTCAAATAATTATTTAGTATGTTGGCAAAGACTTTATTCTGGAAGGTAGATAGGTAGTTTCGTGAATTCAGTACTCTCTTGTGCAACTTAAAACAAAATTATTGATAAAAATTTACAGCACTTATATATATGGTGCTTACATCTCTAGTGCTCTGTACATTTTGAAGTATTTGGGCAAAGGAAGTAGTTTGTAATCACCTGCCTACTTCCGGCCCTATGTGCTACTGGGAAATTGAACATCATGAGAAGGATCAGTTAGTATTAAATAAATACCGCTTATACTCACTCACTCACACTTACATTTACACATTCTCTCATTAAAATATAAAAACACTGCCATTCAGATAACCACATCATTCTATGCAGATCTTATAGTAGAACTCATTTTTACCAGGCACTCAAGAACTTTAGACATAACTATTTTATGAGAGTCTTCTTCAGCTCTTTTCTACTAGATTGAGTTTACAAATGGAAAAATACAAAACTTTTCTAAGGGAAGTTATTGACAACAAACCACATCTTCAATAGCTTTTTGCCATACTTTGAGGCTGGTTGAAGTATTTAGACGTTTATGACATTTCTTTTCACAGGTACTCAAGTTTGAAAGAAAGAGTCACAAACACGAATAGTTTAAAAATTGGACCAAACTATTTGACTTTTTGGTATTACTTTTTCAGGTGCTGCTCAGCTGGCTTGAGCTTAGGGTAGAAAATGTTGGGTTTGGAGGAAGTCTGTCATATACATTCCTAAATAAGACTTCTGGTACCTGCAAAATAAGTGTGACAGTAAATTATTAAAAAAAAAAATCAAAAATATGTAAGAATGTAAGACACAGAGTTCTTGTGTGTGATGGACTGCTTTTAGAGATTGAATGGTGAATGCTTGTGAGCGTGAATGTGTGTGTGTGTGCGAGTGTGTGCGTAAGTGAGTGCA